TATCGTACATCATCTCACTGATGAACCACCCAGATAAATTTATTTTGCCAATTCCACGTTTGAATCCTTTCACTGCAGTCACCTTTTCTTGACTCCCTTTGTTCCTCATGAGCCGCACCTTGGTGATGTCCCTTCCTGTTATTAAACAGTTATCCTGGGTACAAGAGTCTTCTTTTCGATGTATTCGTCGAATCTCCAAGTCTACTCAGGCAGTACGCTAAATTATTACTGACTATTCACTATTCACTCTTCCAACCTCCAGTTCATCGGGTTTCTTTGAAATAGGATGTCGACAGCCTCCCTGATTTTCCGTTTCCTGGTGGTTTCGTCATATGAGGCCAGTCTTTCCGTTGCATTGCAGTCAATTGTGTAGCCAGTATTAGCGATGTTTTCAACTATCTCCGATCTTTGCGTATCCATTTTTCTGCATAGTCGCTGGCATTCTTTGATCCTTGTGCCGATTGTCCTTTCCGTCTCTCCGATGCATTCTTGTTCACAGTCCTTGCAGGTTATGCTGTAAACTCCAGAGCACTCCATTTTGTTGACTGTTTCGTGTTGCGTGGGCAAGTCCGTGAAGAGGGTTATCCTTTGCTTAAGGATTGTACGAATGTTCCATTTCCCTAAGAATGGCCGTAGCTTCTGAGCCAATTCGCAGAAAGGTAGAGATATCCGTCATTTTTATTCCGCTTCTCTTGCTTTCCTTTCATAATCTCCGTCCTTCCATCAGTTCGTCATCAACTTTATGTTGCGTTGTATTGCCTCCTCTGGATGTCCATTTCCGAGAGACATCTACGTTTTCCAAGAACTCAGAATCAGTGAGTCGTACGCCTTTATGACTATACACCGCAGTATTCCAATCTTAATCCAATAAGAATGGTTCTAATGAAATTTGAGAGTTATTCTAGCATACGATTTCTTTGGGAAAAGTTTTTTCTAACGTGATTCCTCGGAGCGAATGACCTCCATATCAACGAAAGGTAAGTGTCTGTTCTCTTTTACATCTCTGGTAAGTGTAACTTTTCCATCCATTTCGAATGTGAAGATCAAGAAGTCGTCTAATTTTTCTCTTCTATTCGAAGTAGTCATCCAAATATCGCATAATTACTGCTGCCTGTTGAGGTGACATTAAGAAATTCTCCTCCAACTTGTCTATGAGTAAATAAACCAACAGAGATAAGAGTTGTGAGTCCATAGGCAGACCAAATACTTGCCCATAGATGCGGCCTTTGAACGTGAAATATGTAGTCCTTAGTGTTAGGTTGATCAATTGGTTTAGAGAATCTTTACGGATTCGTTCCATCTCCAGGATGCCATTTTCTTTTTCCAAGATCTCCAGTAGTGAATTGAGTGCTTTT